AGATTTGTTGTCAATCTACAACTGTTGGCTTGCATTGTTTCAACAATCTAAATTCAAAAAGGTTTGATAATATTATTATTAAGTAGGTACTTGCCCTAAGTTACATGACTTGTTATTCGTTTAGCTTGGTGATTGTGTTCTAATTTGTTTTAGCTTGAATCGAGAACTTGTAGGTGATTGTTTACTCCTGACAAAGCTGTAATAGCGAAATATTGAGGAATAAAATTATATTCTGAAGATAAAGGTCGGAGTTTATTTGCATTAATAAATATGTCTAGTAAAATACTCCAGTTTGCGTTACAAAAACTTAAGAATAATTGGCACATTGTTCTATTGTATATCAAAAGTAAAAAACAAAAATGATGTTTTTAGCACAAAAAGATAGCCTTTTTTAATTATTTGAGCCAACTAATTTTGGTAACACAGTTATCATCAGGGCTTGTGAAAATTTACTTGAATTTACAGAATTTTAAAAGTAAAGTATTCACAAGCCATCATGATGGTAACTGTGTTACAGAAACTTTTACTTTTAATATAAAGATGAAAAATTTATCATCCAGGATGGAATTGTTTTATTGAATCACATCCTGAATAAGACATTTTATAACAAATAAATTAATGAACCATGACAACTTTCAACCAGAAATATATAAATGCTATTACCTGGTAATGCTGATAAGAGAAGTTATTTATTTTCATTGTACTGCTCAAAATATTTTGTTTCATATTACATGTAACAGTGAAAACTACATGCCATCATCAGTGATTCTATTTCTATTAGTAAAATGATAGCCTTTAATTATTATACTTCTCATGAATCAAGTATTTTCATTTCTGAACTCATTCTTATCTTTTCACTTTTGGGATACAAATCATTATTTCTTAACAACTAAAAAAATCCTGACACTATGCTGTTTTTCTTGGAGGATGTTTAGCACCACTAACTATACATTAGCTTTCAGCTTAATCATAATTTCTGATTGACTGGGTTCAAAACAAATATCTAAATCCACTACATAACCAAGTTATGTTGTACAATATTATATGTTACAACTGCTCCCTGTGTTCTAGGCAACTCTATGCTTTATCCCTGAATAACTTATTGAAATCAACTACTTCATGAAACTTCAATATCCAAAACAGTATCTATCCCAACTTTATGTTTTCAGCAAAAGAGACCTAAAGTACTATTTAATACAGTTTAAAAGAATAAAACTTCATTGTTCAAAAATCTCCTTTCAACACAGTTCTTCACACCATCTAGCTATTACCTACACCATTAAACAGGTTACCAAACCTTTGTCAACATAGTGTTAAATATTTTCAAATTAAACTTCTGTATGTTTTATTATTTTAATATTTAGTAAGGGTGAGAAGACACAAGTGCACATTTAATATAATTATTTAACAAGTCTTTATCAGATCATTTTATAACACAACTACATGGCATGTACCCATACAACACTCCCCCCCCCCAAATAATTTCAACTATTTTGAGTAAAAATCAGCATAGCGATAACAGTGCCTGTTGGTGACCTTATAGAGTAGAATATGAATTTCAACATTTGGTACAGTTTGCCTTTCAATAGTTTGATGGTATAATTTTCTCATAAAAATTTTTTTTATTGAAAGTTTATAGTTACTAATACAAGTTTCATTGAACATAACTTAAATTTGTTTTTAAGGTATAAAGAATAATTAAATATTAATTTTAACAATAGGCACCTCTGAACTATGACTAAAAGATATACTAGAAATGCTTTAAAGGTTTTTGTGCATCTGATTTTAAATTCTAAATGGATAAATTCAGAGGAAAGTGAAAAAACATCTGCAGCTCACATGGCTTTTATCACAAATTTTAGCCCTTAAAATCTTGTATACTATAGTGAAAAGAAATTACAAGATTAACAATTAAATTGTCCAGTGTAACAGAAATGAAATGTTGTTCATCAGTATAATCTTTTTTTTAAATTCCTGATGCATAATATCATGGGATAAACACACAAAAAAATCTATATAACAGCTTCAACTGTTTAGTTCAATAAAATCTGTCCAGTACAGAACAAGTTTTGTTCCACTTATATGTTTTTACTGTTTAATTTTAGTAAAGCTGGATCATAAAAACATTGTGGCAGAAATAACTTTGTACTAAGTTTGTCTTTGAAACTCCCACTGCAAGTTCTTACATTTTTTACAGAACAACATGGGCTGCTACCATATTCTCAAAGTGTGGGAAGCTGCTCAACTGGAGTATGAAATCTGAAGTCTTCTGGAAATAGTTCAGCAGCTTTTGGATACATTAGTTTATATGACTGGCGGATGGTAACATCAGCCACACCTGCTATATCTCCAATTTCTGAAATAAGCAAAAAATATTTTTAATTAAAATTGTATCAACAATATATTTTCAACTCACTGGATACGTTTAATCTGTATTCTCAGCATGTAAAGCTGTCACAGTGAAAACATGAAAACCTGTACTTGCAGTAAAAAAACATTGTCCAAGTGGCAGTTAAAATATGAGCATCACTCAGTACTTAGAAATTAAAGATAAGAGGCCTGAGAAAGAGTTCACTTTAATCATAGAATATATTCAAATCTTTTAATTATTAAATATTAACATTATATGATTGCATTTAGTGTAACAATGACATTCATATTTCACAATTCAGGAAAATACCCTATACTAAAACATTCAAAAGGGCAAAAATAATTTGAAAATATAATCACAGTAAATTGTTGGAAAAAAAATAGATGATACAATCACTTCGAACTGGAGTTCTTGGCAGAGTTTTAAAATACACTTGTCGGTAAATTAATGTTGCTTCCATTTTTTTCTAGCATTGTTTCATAACTTGTACAGTTAACAGTGTTAACATTTAGAGAGAAATATTTTTTTTGGAACAATACATTTGTAACTTTTTTAAAAAAATCAAATGATACACAAAAAACATTTGTACACTTACAAACATAAACATGTATGTTTAGTTAGTGAGTAAGGGGTTATTCTGCATAAATTTTAAAATAGCATCTATAATATCAAGTCCCCATTATCATAAGTCATAAATGTATTTGAGCTGAATGGTTAATAGTATTAATGAAAAAAAAAGATGCTTCTATTATCGAAAAAGTGCAACCCTTTTTGGGAAAAAATATCTTACCTTTCTGTGATTTTTTATCTTGTGAAGCTTGAGATGCCATATAAATTGCTGCTGCTGCAACTGATATAGGGCTTCTTCTACAAAAGTTAAAATCAGTATAACAAAAATATGTTGGTGCAACTAGATCATCAACTGAATGAAACATAAGAGCATAAAGTATATGAAATTAAAATTTTTTCACGTGCAGTCACTGCTAGCTAATTAAATAACAATCTTACATTTCATTATGTAGTTTTGTCAGCAAAAACCTAAAGATTAGTTTTGTTAGATACTAAAATTCACAACGAAATTTATCCATTCACATTTACAATAAATAGGTTTTAAATATGCATTTTTATTAACAGTTCATATAGTGTTCATAAACCACAGATCTATTAGTTGTACAATCTATTTCTGTAATACCACTTTTTTAATGGCTTGACAATCTGCTCTCCAAAAAGGATCTCAGCCTGTCTTCTTGCACATTAGGCCTGATTTCTCAAACTCAAGCCTGAAATTTGTGCAATGTATTTTTGAACGATGGAAAGTATTGAAAGACAAATGATTCTGCTCTTTTAAGTATTATGAAAATCATAAAGGATTCAGTATTAATAGTATGCATTTTAATATCAGTCCTTTACTAATTCTTATAGACAATATCATGTAAGTTAATTTGAGAGTGGTTTAAATAAACAAGAACTATAAAACTACAGCTTTTCGAAATGTACATAAAACATTAATAGCTGAAAAAAACAAGAGTTTGTGATATTAACAGATTAACATTTATTCCATTTCTTATATTTAAAAAATGACCAGAAAACTGAAAATATCTCATGGTCTGAGAAGTTACAATTTATAAAACCAATCTTCCAAAGGAATATGTTATTTTTATAAATATTAGCTGGATATTATCAATACAAATACTAACACAAAAAAATAAAACATTAATAAAAATTGATAAAATAATACAATCTTTGTTTTTCATATTAAATACAAAATATATTCTAACAAAGAATCTTGAATGTAGAACTTCTCAGAAAATGAACAGGTATGTCCACACAGAAGCTGGCTACATTTTGCATCACATTTATACCACATATAATCAAATTATAATGACTTGAATAAGAGAGAAAACAAATATGAACCACAAGATGTTTTTATTTGTAAAATACAAATATGAACAAAGCTTATCCAAATGAAACAGAAGTCTACATATTTCAAGATGACATTTGTTATTCATGAGAAAACCAGTTTACTTATGAGAATCACAGACAGACAGAGCATTAATTAACAAATATACGCTGTAAAACTGTGTACATTAGAGGTTCTCAAACTGTGGCCTGCAGCCCTCAGTGGGTCCGCAGTAATACATCACATTTATAAAATTACCATTTACTGAAAGAGTAATGAATAAAATAAAATACTTAAACATTATAAAACTAACATAGTAATATATATATATATATCAATTCCAAATTAATAATCGTGATTAACATAAATTGAATTATGTAAATTAGTTGTGCGCCTGGCACTTTTGCCTGCCGATCGCAAAAAACAAGAAGCATCACTACTGTGTGTATGTTAGTGTCACAATTAATAGTTATTACAATAATTACATGGTTACTACTTATGTTGGTAACTGTGAGTTATAACACAACAGTCACTCTACATACATACCCAGGCACAATATCCAACTCAACAGCCTTCCTGGCTATATGTGTTGCTGCTCGTTGTACAGTATTAGGCAGTCCAAGGTTGGAACAAAAGCGAGACTACAGAAAATATATTTTTAAGATAAACACATGTAACTGCTCCATGAAACTCTGTGGTTTCAATAATACTAAAAACTACTTTTAACATAACATAACGTTTTGGGACAACATGGAACCTATTGGTCCATCTCAGCTGTTCCATCCTCTAAACTAAATTAAAATAACTAAAACAAATAATCTTAAAGCCAGCCCTCATCTTTTATATACTTGTCAAAATTTCTCTTAAACTCACTAAAATTTACAGCCTCTACAGTATCTGAAGGCAACCCCTTCCAAAGGCCAACCACCCTGTTAGAAAAATGAAACCGTCTTAGCTGAAGATGATTCCTAACTTGCCAAAATTTCATTTGTGACCCCTAGTCCTACTATTCTCACTGTTATACATGAAAAAAGATGATGCACTAACACTATCAATTCCCTTTACAATCTTAAACATCTCAATCAGATCCCCCCCGAACACTTTGTTTTTCAAGATAAAACAATTTGAGAGATTTCAGCCTCTCCTCGTATGACAACCCCTCCATCCCAAGCACCATTCTAGTAACCCTTCTCTGAACCCTTTCCAATAATTCAATGTACTTCCTAAGGTAAGGAGCCTAAGACTGAACACAATATTCCAAATGTGGCCTAACAAATGACCTCTACAATGAAAGTATAATCTCTTTAGACTTTTATTCAATATTTCTGTAGATACAACCTAAAATCCTATTTGCCCTACCACTGGCAACAGCACACTGCTTGGATGGCTTATGAGACTGATCAACTATTACACCAAGATCCCTTTCTTTCATGACACTTTTAAGGTTATCCCCACCCAAATTATACTTATAATTCAAATTATGATAACCCACATGCATAATTTTGCATTTATTATAATTAAAAGCAATATGCCATTTATTTACCCAACTCACTAAATTATCTAAATCCTTTAGTAAATCAGCAGCATCCTCTTCACAGATAGCAACATATTAACTGCAAATTTAAGTAATTTATTGACTATTCCTTCATCTATATCATTGATGTAAATCAAAAAGAGCAAAGA